AAGGTTAAGTTAGAAGAGTTGGAACTTGAAAAAAATTGTTTGTTTTGTTGACAAATATTGTTGCAAACATTGTTAGAACAAACAAGCAAACAAGACAGAATAGAATCCATTTGACTTTACATTTTTCACAATATCTTGTAAATAAGAGATGTTTGAAATCCAGTTTCAAGGGGTTGGAATAAGAGTTGTTTGAAATTCAATTTCAGTTGAAAATATTGACAGATTTCATGAGAAAATAACTTTATCTTTCAGAGGAGATAACTACATTAAGTACAAGATAGCAACCAATTTATTCTATAGATAACTGCAAATTTTAAAGTTTGAATACATACTTTTTAATAAAAAATGACAAGTTTCATTACAAAAAAAGCTGCTAATTTGAGAAGAAACTGTCAGATCTTAAGATAATTGACAGGGCCATGCATAAGACTATAACTACAGCTTAACAGATATCAGGGGGAGATAACTGCAGCTACCTCAACATCAACATCACAAAGCAACAAACACCAAATATGTTTTAAAATGTGTCATGCTTCTTGTGTGTAAGATGTTACAATTCATCTTTTATATATACTTGTAAACTTGTCTTGCATAATATCAGTAATCTGCAACAAACAAAATCCTTGGAGGATGAGGAATATTGTTGAGGAATCTTTTTTTTAAATATTATAAATGAATTTAATAACACAAAATGTACTGTAGCAGAAAATGACATAACATTACTGGTTGTGATTTTGTTGTACATTTTTGTTTAAGTGTTGCTTGTTTTGTTTTTTTTTTTTGTTTATCACATAATTTTATACAGTACTCAATTTCAGTTGATAATTAATTAAAATTTAATTAAGGTGTTAGAGAGAGAGAGAGAAATAGAGACAGACAGACAGGCAGAGAGAGAGAGAGAAAGAGAGAGAGAGAGAGGGAGAGGAACATGTGGATAGGAGGGTGTGTGTTTATCCATTTTACATCCATTTATCCATTTTACATCCATGTTTATCCATTTTGGCTGCATGTGAGATGCGTGTGTGTGCGTGTGTGTGCGTGTGTGTGCGTGTATGTGCGTGTGTGTGTGTGTGTGCGTGTGTGTGCGTGTGTGTGCGTGTGTGCGTGTGTGTGCGTGTGTGTGTGTGTGTGCGTGTGTGTGCGTGCATGTGAAATATGTATGTGAGGAAATGTGAGGCGAAATGACTGTCAGTGAATTGTCATGAGTGGGTGGGTGTATACAGGCATGAATATATGTGCCGCATTAGCACAGTTGATAGGAGACTCCCTTTCAAATCCAACTGCGACTCGCTGAAGCCCACAGCTGGTGTTCGAATCCAGGCGGTTCCCGGTGTTCACCCAGCCTCTAGGGAATGGGTACCAGAGTTAACACTATGGGGTAAATGGAGGAATGTCGCTGTAGCTATGAAGTTGCCTGCCGACGGCAACAGAGGCTGACACTTTCTTATCAACTGTCGGTACCGATGGCAGAGCACTTTATAACCGTGTGCAATGACGCTGGTTCATATCTCCCGACTTTACTTTATCTTTTATGCATATTTGAGTATGTGTGTGCATGACTCTTTGTGTGTGTGTGTGCATGCCTGCGTGCATGCATGTGTGAGTGCATGCATGGGTGTGTGTGTGGGGGGGGGGGGGGCACTTTTATGCAACTATGTTGTTATACTGTACATTTGTCACCTGCATAAGTTTTATTTTATTTTTCTATTTTAGTCTATAAGAGTTATTAGGCAATATTTTTCTCTTTCTATCATTTTATCATTCACATTCTTTAAACTCTGTCAGAAATTTCTGGTTGTTCACCCACTCCTGGATTTTGGTCTTGATCCAGAATTTCAGGTGTGCATGCACAATCCGTTTCACAGATCTGGCTTAATTGTATAAAATGGGGCCTCAGAACCTACACTGGGGCCCTGGCTAAACCAAAATCAAGGGAAATCAAAGTTTTTTTTTTTTTTTAAATCAAATTTGGTACACATTTAAATTGATGACCTCTAGGTTGACAGTCAAGCATCTAGCCACTGTGCCATACGGGTTCCTGCAAACTTGTGCCACTAAAGCTTCCCCTGTCAACTTGTACCACTGAAGCTTCCCCTGTCAACTTGTACCACTAAAGCTTCCCCTGTCAACTTGTACCACTGAAGCTTCCCCTGTCAACTTGTACCGCTAAAGCTTCCCGGTCAACTTGTACCACTGAAGCTTCCCTGTCAACTTGTACCACTGAAGCTTCCCCTGTCAACTTGTACCACTGAAGCTTCCCGGTCAACTTGTGCCACTGAAGCTTCCCTGTCAACTTGTACCACTGAAGCTTCCCCTGTCAACTTGTACCACTAAAGCTTCCCCTGTCAACTTGTGCCACTAAAGCTTCCCCTGTCAACTTGTACCACTAAAGCTTCCCCTGCCAACTTGTACCACTAAAGCTTCCCCTGCCAACTTGTACCACTAAAGCTTCCCCTGTCAACTTGTGCCACTGAAGCTTACCCTGACTTGTGCTGGATTGTGTCTTGTTGTTTGTAAACCCAGATGCCTTATTTCAGTTTGCTGAACTGATTTTGTTTCCATGTGTACAGACAGGATCCTAGTGCATCAAAGTTAATCGCTGGAATGTTCACTCTCTTTCCTGCCTTTGGGATCATCTTGCCTAAAGGAAATCAGGTCATCACCGTTGAATGTGTTGGGGAAGTTACTGGAAAAGAGATACAAGTAAGCAAATTTTGTTTTCTCTGCCCACATAATAGCCAGCTTCTGTCATATTTATCTAGCAAACTATGTGAAATATGTGGCAATACAAGAAATAGTTTTCCACACACACATGCACACACGTACGCATGTACGCATGCAATGTTGTCTGCTCAGTCCTTGGCTGTTGTCTACTTGATGTATTCTACTTGATGATATGACTGATACTCTATGATGAAACAGATGTTATGAGTAGACACGATCTCCATGATACATATATATTTATTAACATTTGAGCACTTACACAATATGTCCAGTGCGTGTCCTACTCAACAAGTACAGCATTAAGCACCACATAATTCAGACACCAATACACTGAAAAATATGGAAAACTGCACTGAAGATTGCACAGGACAGGAAAGCATGGAAAGTCCTCTCAAAAAGTCCTGCGTGTGCCACTAGGCATAAAGCATTAAGCACTGATGAATCACACACCAATCGTGAACGCATTCACACTCTGGAGTTCTCCGTCTTCAACATCTCCGGTCACTGCATCGTGGTCTCCCGCAACTGAGTTCGGTGAACTTCCCTTTGAGGAATGTTGTAGTTCAGTCGTCGTCTTGAAGTAGTCAGTTTCACGTTGACAAGGATTCTTCCCATTCACACTGGATCACACAGACACACCCTCGCGTTCCAACGGTCCAACACATACTGTCTAATCCGAACGTGGTCTGACCTTAATACCAATTGTTGGGCTCCCCGTGACGACATGTGGTCATTCTTGGTTTTCACCTGGTAACATGTGGTGGTTCTCCCCCTTGAGAACCTCATTCTCTCTGAATGTCTGGCTTCTCTCTTTTATGATGACCCTCGAGTATTCCCCCCCAATCTTCTCCTACAGGGAATCCCCGTGTGAAAATATCCCACATTGCAGCACACATACACACACACATATAATTCCCCCTACCCAACCTACAATATAACATGCCAGCTGTTTTTTTTTTAACCCATTGACTACCAAGCTCGTTAACCCTTGCATTTTCCCAGATACCACATAGTTTAGTCTCTAATAAAAATGCCATAGCTTCACAACTTTTTAGCATAAACTCCAAGTGTTTTGTATTTTTTTACCAAATTAAACAAAGAACAAATTTCAGGACATAATCTTGTTTGACACCATCATCATATGGTTGTACATTGGAACCACACAAAAAAAAAAAGGCAAACGAAAAATCTGTCATTCTGACAGCAATATAGATTTACAAAGATACTATGGTTTCACAATTATTTAATGTAAACTCATATTTTTCGTTTTTATACCAAACTAAACAGAGAACAAATTTCAAGAAATAAAAAAAGTGTGTAATCTTGTTTTAGAGCATCATCATGTGGCTGTACATTTGTGCGAAGAAGGAAAGTGAAAAATCTTCTGACACCAAAATAAGTATTTAAAAAAAACAATTTCTGCTGGTAAATTTTCAAGTAAATTACAAGGGTGCTTTTCTGTTAATAAAAAAAAAAATATTTTTGTAAAGATTCTTCCGAGGTAAAAGGGGTATTGGTCATTAAAAAAAAATTTTTGTGCCACTAACAATTTTAATTTTTTTAAAGATTCTTCTGAGGTAAAAGGGGTATTGGTCATTTAAAAAAAAATTTTTGTGCCACTAAAAATTTTAATTTTTTTCAAGATTCTTCTGAGGTTTTTTGTTTTGTTTTAGTATCCAGAAGCCATGAGTTGTTAACCCTTAGGCTCGGTATTGTGGATATCGCAACCTTTCGGCCTTGATTCCATTGTAAATACCGTAAATCTGGGAGAAAATGTGGCTTTCCTGCCTACCACCGGGATTGAACCCGGACCACAAGGAGTACGTCACCCGGTCTCCGCGAAATCCGGTTTAGCCAATTCCGCTAGAGAGCCGGGCATTCTTCTGAGGTAAAAGGGGCATTGGTCATTAAAAAAAAATTTGTTTTTCCCAAAATGAGGACCCAGAATGTTTACAGGGAATCTTACAGTTTAAAATTGAATATTGACACATTTCTTCACTTAATTTCATTTCAGGATATTTTTATAGAAATTACTGACCGTGACCCCAACCTACACAAGGGAGGAGTGCCTTACCAGCTGATAGCTGAAGCCTGCATTCCAGGCATCAGTACTGACAATGTTGGAAGCATTTTTGAGGAACATCGCATCTGCAAGAACCTTTCGGTGTGGCAGCATATCAACCGTTGCCAGTCGGAAGTTGGTGGTGTATATGGAGAAGAAGAGAAGAAGTTTGTTTTTAACAACGTCATTGTTGGTCGTCCAGCCAAGGCACGCTTTAAGATCTCCAATCCATACAAGGTGATATACCAGTGTTTTTTTCCCCCAGAAATTTGTCAATGAGATGGTACAATGAGATGGTACAGTGAGATGGTACAATGAGATGGTACAGTGAGATGGTACAATGAGATGGTGCAATGAGATGGTACAGTGAGATGGTACAATGAGATGGTACAGTGAGATGGTACAGTGAGATGGTACAAGGAGATGGTACAGTGAGATAGTACAGTGAGATGGTACAGTGAGATGGTACATTGAGATGGTACAATGAGATGGTACAGTGAGATGGTACAGTGAGATGGTACAGTGAGATGGTACAATGAGATGGTACAATGAAATGGTACAGTGAGATGGTACAATGAGATGGTACATGTACAATGAGATGGTACAATGAGATGGTACAGTGAGATGGTACAATGAGATGGTACATGTACAATGAGATGGTACAATGAGATGGTACAGTGAGATGGTACAATGAGATGGTACATGTACAATGAGATGGTACAGTGAGATGGTACAATGAGATGGTACAATGAGATGGTACAATGAGATGGTACAATGAGATGGTACAATGACATGGTACAATGAGATGGTGCAATGAGATGGTACAATGAGATGGTACAATGAGATGGTACAATGAGATGGTACAATGACATGGTACAATGAGATGGTACAATGAGTTGGTACAATGAGATGGTACAATGAGATGGTACAATGAGATGGTACAATGAGATGGTACAATGAGATGGTACATGTACAATTTGATGGTACAATGAGATGGTACAATGAGATGGTACAATGAGATGGTACAATGAGATGGTACAATGAGATGGTACAATGAGATGGTACAATGAGATGGTACAATGAGATGGTACATGTACAATTTGATGGTACAATGAGATGGTACAATGAGATGGTACAATGAGATGGTACAGTGAGATGGTACAATGAGATGGTACAATGAGATGGTACAATGAGATGGTACAATGAGATGGTACAATGAGCTAGAACTCATGTAACTCATTCTGCAACCAAGCCACAGTTTTCTTCTTTTCTTTAAATTTCTTTTTTTCCTGCTCCCCATTCTCTGCCTATTTCTCATTTTCTTTTTTTTTTCTTCTACTCCTCCCCCTCTTCTTCTTCTTTTTTTTCTTCTCACCGTCCTCTACCTGTTTCTCCTCCTCCTTTCTTCTTCTCCTCCTCCCATCCATTGCCTGTTTCTCTAGTTTTCTTTTTCTCCTCTTCTCATTTGCTGTTCCTCCTCTTCTTTTCTTCTTCACCTCCCCGTCTTTTAACTCGTTCTGCTTCTTCCTGGCTTCATTAACTCTTTTACACATTTCAATAGCAAAGTGAGTTTAGCACACAACAACCACTACTCCCTATTTCTAGTAATATGCTGTATAAATTTGGCTTATCTGGTCACTGAGGTGTGCAGCTGTCAGATAGCAGACTTCAGGAAGGCTAACCTAGGCATCAAATACTTGCAGAAGTCTGTTGTTCGGCCGAAAGGTGCAAATATCGCAGCCATGTTGCAAACAGGCACAATACATATGCATCTTCAGATTATTGTTGAAAAAAAAAATAGCAGACCCTGGATCAGATGTATCAAAAATAATTAAAAAAATGGTAGGCATTTTCAGAATTTTAGGCCACAGTTCTGTTATTCTGCAGCATTTTTTGTTTATGTAAATTCTTTGATTCGTATCACCAGGTGCCCTGTGATGTTGTATTTACCTTGAAACAGTTGCCACAGAAGGGAGCTCTAAAATCCTCAGATGTCTTTGATTTGGACCCTCTCCGTACACAAATTGCCAACAACAGCCATGTGTATGTAACTGTGACCTTCACACCACAGGCAATGCTGGTAAACCTTTGTGCTAAATTGATGAAATATCAAACTGGTTTTATTTCATTATTTTATTTTTAAATTTTGATTTTTAGTCTTTTTTTTATGTTGAACTTCTTTGTTCAGCATTTTCTACATTGCAGCTCAATTCACCCTTTTCCTAGATGCTATACTTGTTTATTCATCTTTTTCTTTTTCTAAATATCATGATGATAAAATTATTCATGGATCTTTTTTTTGGGGGGGGGGGGGGGGGGGGGGGGGGATGAAAATACAACATTAGCTTGTTCCCTGTTTACATCTTTATTAAATGTTGTTCTAAATGTTAGACTAGTTTATTCAACTCTTGACCCTATCACCCCAAGAAACCAATTTCTCTGACATTTGCAGGTTTTTGTTGAACATGAGAAGTCTTGGGACATTGGCCGCTGTGCCTGCTTAACAGCTTTGCTACTGGCTATATATATATATATACCTAAAAAAAAAACTGAGATATTATTAGGGACACAAAAATAAAAATAAATTTTTTTAAAATTGTGACATCATTGTTACATCATAATAATCACAAATGATATTACTTTGCTTTCCATGACTAGATCAATAAAACCACATTTATCATGGTCAAAGGGAAACAAAGCAGGTACTCCTTTACTGCGCTAGTATTTTGTGATCAATTATTTTACTTAAAAATTAGATTTTGCATGAAAAATTTATAATAAAACCTAATATGAATTGTTTTAGTGATTTGATGGACGTCACACTTGACGTCTGCTCAGTGGTCTAGTAGTTCAACCCTGTGAATGTTTGTGAAAACTGCCTAAAACTGAAAATGTATCCTTTTTTTTCTTCTCTTTCTTTATGTAGACTTATAAGAATTGTTTCATTTTAACAAAATGGTAAACAGGATTTATTAGTTAGTTTATTTATTTAGTTTTATTTTCATAGGGGCAAAAAGAGTTTAAAATTAAATATAATCAACCAATATTCTAACATGGCAGACTAATTTATTTGACCCTCTTTTTTTAATTGATATACTTTTTTTTTTTTTTTGTATTGGTCACATGTACATCCAACATTTTTTCAGAAATATCTAAGTTTTGTTCTCTTTTTATATTTTGTTCAAATATTTATCTAAATATTGAATGTTGTTGTTAATTTTTCAGAGGTCTTTAGAAACAATTTTTAACCTTTTTCTAGATGTCAGGCAGACCAGTTTATAAATGATATTTTTTGGTTGTAAGTATCACACTTCAAAACACTGATTCCTTTATGGGTGTTTATTTTTATTTAATTATTTAATAACAAAGTCATCATTCTAGACTTTTAAGAAAATAATTGTTTCATGTTTTTTCTCAAAATTTCAGCATTACAGCGCCATATTTGAAGCAAACGTTGAAGGTTTACCACAAAATCAATCTAGAGGGAAGTCACTTACGTTTGAGATTTCTGGAGAAGGTAATCTCCCTCGTATAACTGTTTCTAAACCTGCAGTGAGAAACAAGAGGGGACAGCCTGTTCTGATGTTCAAGCGCATCCTAATTGGCCGCTCGGAATCTCTTCCACTGGAACTACTGAATGAGGGTACACTTCCAAGCAAAGTAAGACCCCACTGATGTAGATGTTGACACAGACTTTTAATAGCACAGTTTTGTATTTTGCTGTAGTTTGTGTGTGTGTGTGTGTGGGTGCATGCGTATGCATGCCTGTGTGCATATGTGCATGTGTTAGTGCTACTGTATACTTTATATTTGACTGTTTCATTCTATACTTTACTACATTTTACTGCATGTTAATGTCAACTATATTTTATTAATTACTTGATTTCACCGCTACATTTTACTCAGCGCAGTGTTTTATTCTTTCTATATTTTATTGCATATTCTGATTTTTGGGTGTGTGTGTGTTTTTTTTTTTTAAACTTTACTATGTTTTTAATAGAGCGCATGCTAAAATGAACTTTATCAAGCTGTCATTAGTTGCTAGTTTGTCAAACTTTGTATACTTAACACAAGTACATTTCCATTTGCTGTCTCTCTGTCTCATCTCTCCTCTCTCTCTTTCTCTCTCTCTCTCTGTGTCTCTGTCTGTCTGTCTGTCTCTCTCTCTCTCTCTCTCTCTCTCTGTGTCTCTCTCTCTCTGTCTGTCTGTCTGTCTCTCTCTCTATCTCTCTCTCTCTCTCTCTCTTTCTCTCTCTCTCTCTCTCTTTCTCTCTCTGTCTGTCTGTCTGTCTCTCTCTCTCTATCTCTCTCTCTCTCTCTCTCTCTCTCTCTCTCTCTCTCTCTCTTTCTCTCTGTGTCTCTCTCTGTCTGTCTGTCTCTTTCTCTCTCTATCTTTCTCTCTCTCTCTCTCTCTCTGTGTCTCTCTCTCTGTCTGTCTGTCTGTTTCTCTCTCTATCTTTCTCTCTCTCTCTCTCTGTGTCTCTCTCTCTGTCTGTCTGTCTCTTTCTCTCTCTATCTTTCTCTCTCTCTCTCTCTGTGTCTTTCTCTGTCTGTCTGTCTCTTTCTCTCTCTATCTTTCTCTCTCTCTCTCTCTCTCTCTCTCTCTCTCTCTTTGTCTCTCTCTCTCTCTGTGTCTCTCTCTGTCTGTCTGTCTCTTTCTCTCTCTATCTTTCTCTCTCTCTCTCTGTGTCTCTCTCTGTCTGTCTGTCTCTTTCTCTCTCTATCTTTCTCTCTCTCTCTCTCTCTCTCTCTCTCTCTCTCTCTCTCTCTATCTTTATCTCTCTCTCTCTCTCTCTCTCTCTCTCTCTCTCTCTCTCTCTCTCTCTCTCTCTCTCTCTCTCTTTCACTTTCTCTCTCTCTCTTTCTCTTATTTTAATTTAAATTAGACACAAAAAAACATCGTAGCACACCAGGTTTAGCCGTAGATGCTCTCGCAGCAAATGTTGTGAGGTGTAGATGCTTACTATTCCTGTAACCACATGGGGTTCTCTTCCTGTCACATTTTCCTTCTTGCCAGATCCACACTCAGTTTCTCATTCACACATTCTTACACATATTATTCCATCTAACCTCGTGTTTTCTATCGGCATTCATTCATAAATGGTCTTCAGAGCGTCACCTTTGTCCAGTACAAATGTTTCCAGAGCTATCACTGTTGTAGCAAGAAAAATCCACTCTTTTATTCCCTCAGACTCCTGCATGTCCCAGATGGTAAGGAAAATAAGAAATTAGAAACACTAGATTGGAGGGAACATAAACATAACTAAGCACAATGTATTGCCTCATGTATTTCCAGCTGCATCCTGTGGAAATAAATCCACATAGCATAAAGCAAAATTGTAAATCCGCACTGCTGAAATACACACCACACATCATCCTAGATGTCTGTCTATGGGTTACCATGGTAGTTTGTGTGTTTGAGGATTAACCATGCATAAAGTGGTGGCGTCTGCAAATCTGGCATGTCTTGATTTTAAATCATGCTGAAACTGCTGGGGTCCCCATGTGGATTCCTGACTCCATTTGTATGTGTGTGTGTGTGTGTGTGTGTGTGTGTGTGCTACTGTATTCATATCAAGACCTCCGAAATGTTTGTGCAACCATGAAAACAGCCTTAAGTATGCATCTCATAAACAGGTCACTATAGACAATCAGAATATAGAAAATTGGATCAGCTGAAAGTGTCGATTTGGCAGCTTCTCTGGGTACAAGGGTTCATCATCGCTGGTATTATGGAATTCTTCCACTGAACTGCAGTTCTTATGTGATCTCTAGTAGGAGATTGCAGCGCTTGTGAAGATACCTGTATGCAATAAAAGTGTTTCATAACATATGACAGAAACAGAAAAAACTTCTTTGTCTCAATCCCCTCTCTTTCTTCCACAACCCCCTTTCCCCCACCCCTCCTGCCACTCTTTTTTTTTTTGTTGCTGCTCACTGAGACTTACAAATACACAGACACTATTTAGATTTCTTTTCTTGACCATCGTTGTGACCAGTGATGGAAAACTGTGAACATTACTAACAACAGTGTTTGCTGCTATTATGCAAAAGAAACATTTCCACAATCTACATACTGTACTGCAGTAGCACTTAGCTAACATTGTCAACACAATCAACACAATCAACACAAGCAACACAATCAACACAATCAACACAATCAACACAAGCAACACAATCAACACAATCAACACAATCAACACAATCAACACAAGCAACACAAGCAACACA